TTATATTCCTCAGTTTCAACCGTGTTACAAACTTCCTCTTGTTGATAGGCTCTATCCTTCCGGTGTTCCTCGATTTTTCTCCGTGCTTTGATTTTACATACAGCCCACCAATCAGTTTTGTCACGTTTTAAACTAAGATATGATGCATAACATACTTGAATTGCTTGTTGTGCCAAGACAAATGGTTCATGTTTCATATACCTTTTCTTGTGATTTATTTCAACAAAATTAAACTTCGTATGTACCTTCATTCCTTTGACAGGGTCGAACCACTTGCACTTAAATAACACAACCCGCATCATTAAAGGTCCAGGGTACTCTATCTCTATGATTTCATCCAACAAGCAATAAAAATCATCTTTTGAACTGCCACCATTGGATGCCGAACACACACACCACTATTCATTGTGGCTTTTTCCATTCCATATTCTTGAGTGTGAAAATTATATCCATTTATGAAATATGCTGGCCAACTTCGTACTCTTAACTGTGGACCCCATGACAGATAATATAGCAATCCTTGCTCTCCAAGTTCATCATGATTACTGTGAACCTAAGGTTACACATGCAAGGTCAATAATATATATTTTAATAAATGATGTATAAAATTTAAATAACTTGATTTTGGTCCATAGGCAACTTACATATGTTTTGAACCATGTTGCAAATTGTTCATCGCACAAATGGTCAAACTCATTTGGTGATAGTCCATACATTGAAGTTTGGAAAATCCTAGTAATAAATACCATTTATATATTAGCAAATATTTGACACACAATATATATATTTGCAAATTTACACTTACTTGAAGTATGGCTCGACTTCTGGGCAGTTCAGTAAAATATATGTATGGGCTGCATGCAATTCTTCGCCTGTTAAGTAACGAAACTGACATGCGCCGCTTGGTCGACCCAGATAATTGAAAATAGAGAATGCTTTGCAATTGTGATCACTGGGGCCCTCATCATTTCTGCCTGCTCTCCGCCTCTTGCACTGCACGTGCGGCTCAAAATAGTATGACACAAATGTTGTCACTTCTTTCACAATATATGCATTACAAATTGAAGCTTCAACATATGCCTTATTCTTCACTTTTTTCTTCAAATGATATAAGAATCTAGTTGCAATAGAAAGAAGCTTATCGGAACATAATATATAATAAAGTAATTTGAACTTTATTTTAAAAAAGAAATTACCTCTCAAATGGATACATCCATCGAAATTGGACGGGACCCGTAACTTTGGCCTCATAAGGCAAGTGAACTAAGAGATGCTCCATCGAATCAAAAAACGATGGAGGAAATATCCTTTCTAAGTTGCAAAGAATAATTGGAATACCTCTCTCCAGTTTCTCCATGTGTGATGCTTTTAACACTGTCGAGCAAATATCATGCAGGAAATTGTTTAACTCTGTAATGGCGCCCCATACAAAGTTCGGTAGAACTTTCTTGAAAGCTATTGGAATTAGTCTTTCCATCAATATGTGACAATCATGACTCTTCAAACCTGTCAACTTACATTCATTCAAATCAACACATCTTCCGAGGTTCGAAGCATATCCATCAGAAAACCGCACAGATTTCAACCATTGACAAACAACTCGCCTCTGCTCCTTATCCAATGTATAAACTGCTTTTGGTTTTGGTCCCCTGCTACTTGCATCCACATCTAGTGTTGGCCGATCACAAATATCTCTCATATCTTTTCTTGCGTTCAAGTTGTCTTTTGTTTTTCCGGTAACATCCATCACAGTATTTATGACATTGTCGAAAACATTCTTTTCTATGTGCATGACGTCAAGATTATGATGAATAAGATGGGCCTTCCAATACGGTAGATCCCAAAATATACTGCGTATTTGTCCACTTATGTGTACTTCCGTACGCAAAAGTCGTACTGTGAGGGTTCTGAACAACAGTTGGAAAGTCTTGCACCCGCTCCCAAATTTGATCGCCGGTTAACCTCAATGGTGGACGTGTTCTTTCAGTCCTATTCTTGATGAACTCTTTTTTATTCCTTCTGAATGTATGATTTATCGGTAAAAATTATCAGTGACAGTCAAAATAGCTGGGCTTCTTTCCATGTTTTAATCTAAATGACTTTGATCTCTCCAAACATATCGGACATCCTAAGATCCCAGCTGTACTCCATCCAGATAACATTCCGTAAGCTGGAAAGTCATTTATCGTCTAAAGAAGAGCAGCCTTCATTACAAATGTTTGATCGGTAGAAACATCATATGTAAGGACACCTTCCTCCCATAGCCGTTGTAACTCTTCAATCAATGGTTGCATATAAACATCTATTAACTTTTTTGGATTTTGCGAGCCAGTCACGATCAATGTCAAAAACATATAAGATGTTTTCATGCACATACCAGGTGGAAGATTGTACGGCGTTAAGATAACTGGCCAACATGAATAACTTTTTCCTGATTTCCCAAATGGGGCAGATCCATCAGCACAAAGACCTAACCTGATGTTTCGAGGCTCTATTGCAAACTCAGGGTACGTTCTATCAAAATGTTTCCATGCCTCTGCATCTGAAGGATGACACATTAGACCCTCTTCTGTTTCATGATTTGCATGCCAAGTCATGTGTTCAGCAGTGGCTTGAGACGCATAAAGCCTTTGCAATCTGGGGATTAAGGGCAGATAAAATATTTGCTTGTATGGTCTACGCTTCTGATTACGACCCCGCCTCTTGCTAATCTTGTACCTAGGTTGGCTACAGAATTTGCAAGATTCTGCATTTTCATCATCTCTCCAATATAACATACAACCCCTACTACATACATCAATCCTTACAACCGGAAGACCTAAGTTATCCACTAGCTTTTTCATATTGTAAAAATCACTTGGCATGATGTTATCACGAGGCATTGTTTCCCGCATTACTTCAACAAAAGAGTTGAAGCAATCTTGCGACACATTATGCTCTGCCTTGATATTTAACAGTCTTGCTGTCACTGATAACTTAGTGTGGTTGTCACAACCTGCCCATAAAGGTTCATCTGCTGCTTTCAACACTTCCCAAAACTGATTAGATGAAAAAGTTCCATTACACATATTCTCATCAAAATCCGTTACTCCTATCTCTTCCAATTGTGATGCATGACTAGTACCCACTTGTTCAAGTGTAGGAGTAAAACTAGTACTTGCATGGTTCGATTCTGAAACAAAATTCTGACCAGCTGCATCAATCACCATCCTCTCGTATGGGTTCAATTGATCATAATAGCTACATTCTTCCCTAACTAAAAATTGGTCACTTCTTCGATATCCTTCATCAGATATAAATGGTTCACCATGGCAAGTCCAATTATAATAATTCGAAGTAAACCCAAATCTACAAAGATGTTCTCTAACTTTATCACACACATTAAATTTACCATTACTACACTTTTTACACGGACACCTTAACTTATTTCCATCCATGAACTCATATTTACTACTAGGAAAGTCTAAAAATAGTTCCAACCTAGTACGAAACTCATCGGTCAATCCTCGACGTCCAGGTAAGTTCTTATTATACAACCAAGCCCTGTCTCTTTGCATTGTGTCTGTATTAAAATAAAAAAATCTCGTAAAATATTTAAAATATCATATCTACTGATCTTAATTAAAACCATAAAATTATGAAAATTAAAATTTTGTTTTTCACGCAACAATTACTTTGAAATTGAAAAAATTGAAAAAATTACCATGTAAAGAAGACTCACCCAAATATTTGACTGAAATCTTGGTAGCAGAAAGTGGTCAATTTGATGAGAATTGTAACGTTCACTTGGATTGCGAGACCTTCAATTGGACACGTACCTAAATAAAAGAAAAATCACTTAACATTTATTTTTTATTAATTTTTTATTTTTTCCTAATTTTTTTCATTTTTTTTTTTCCCCTTACATTTTTCTCCGGTCGTCGGTTCGGCGACCGGCCGACTCCGGCGAGGCCGCGCGGCCTCGCCATGGCCGCCGGTCGACCTCGCCCAGATCCGGGCGACGGCGAGGTCGACCGGGCGGCTATGGCGAGGCCGCTCGGCCTCCCCAAATCTGGCCGAGGCCGAGCGGCCTCACCCCAGCCGCCGGTCGACCTCGCCGTAGCCCAAATTTGGGCGAGGCCGCCGGTCGACCTCGCCGGCCATGGGGCGAGGCCGCTCGGCCTCGCCCAGATATGGGGGAGGTCGAGTGGCCTCGCCATGGCCGCCGGTCGACCTCGTCGTCGCCCAGATCTGGGCGACGGCGAGGTCGATCGCCAACGGGGGGAGGCCGAGTGGCCTCGGCCCATGGCCGGCGAGGCCTCTCAGCCTCCCCCCATGGCCGGCGAGGTCTCGCCGGTGGCCGGTCGCCAGACCGGCGATCGGCCAAGAACTTACAAACAAATAGCCAATAAAAAAAAATTCCAATACAGCGATGAATAGTTTTGCAACGAACCGTATTCGTCGCCAATTAGTCACGAAATTAGCTACGATACTTACCGGTAGAAAAGCTTTACCGAAATTGATTTCTGCGCGTACGGATTATTGAGAGAAATGAAAGAGGGAGAAGGGGGGAGAAAAGCGGGGGATGTTAGGAATCAGTACAGAGAGAGAGAAATCAATCAGCCGGGTGTATATGACGAAAGTTTTTTTCCGTCATAAATTACAAATTAGCGACGAATCCGTTTTCATCGCAAAATCCGTCGCAAATTACCAACGAATTTTTTTTTCCGTCGCAAATTAGCGACGGTAAAAAAATCCGTCGCTACTTTCGTCGCAAAATGGTAAATATCGTTGCATAAATTAGCGACGGAAAATAAATTCGCCAAAAAATTCGTCGCAAATTTGCGACGGAAAATTGGTCGTCGCTAATTTGCGACGGAATTAGCGACTACCATTGCGACGGAAAATAAATCCGTCGCAAATTTGCAACGGAAAAATAATTCCATCGCAAAGTTTGTCGCAAATTAGTGACGAAAAATTCCCCGTCGCAAATTTCATGTTTTTTTGTAGTGCCTGTAGAACTATCATCAGCATCTCCACAGAGATATATTGTCATCTATTCTCCGATGAAGTATGTTGTCTTGAGCTTGTTCTTAGAATATACGCATATGGTTGCGTATATATATAGGTTGTACTGTATCCTCTCATACCATCAGCATATTCAAGACTGCAGTCCATCAATGGAATACAAATTTGGAAGAAAGAGAACCAAGAAAATCAATGGACTAACAGTACTTACAACTATCATCAACCCCTAGAATTGTTAGAACTTACTCCTCTCTCGTTGCTAATTTAATAAAATCTATTGAACCATCTTAATCTGTTTGTAGGACAGTTCTTCGATTTTCATAGTTTCTTTTTGTAGGCTGTTGATCCTCCTCGTTTGACGGGCTAGTACAAGAAGATTAAATCTACCGGAAAGATCGATTAAGATCGAAGCATGGCGATTTTTCTGATAACTTAAAAGAGGTGAAAAAGAAGCTCATTTCATGAAGATGATGAAAGAAGTTTCTCCAATCAACATCACATGCAAATGACCATAATCTATTTTTCTTCGAGCTCAAATAAACACGATCTTTCGTGGAATCCCAAATTGGCCAACAAGCTGGAGTACAAAATGAAAGGTGTTCAGTTTGAGGAGAGAATGACAGACTATATAATAATAACATCATGCAAATCGTCTAATGTTTCTTTGTGAATTTTACAAGGCAATGGTCAGAAGGCCTTGGTCCTGGTAGGTACACCATTGGGCTATTTGGGTTGAGCCTTTCCATACTGCACCAAAAAAAAATCATTATAATAAAAACAATATATCATAAATTCATTCAAATTTTAACTTTGTGCTCTAAGTTTTGGTATTTAGAAGGGAAAAGGAAAGCGTGAAGTGTAAGGAAGAACTCACTCGTAGTGAAGTACAAAACGATGGAGAAAAATGGACATTTCAAGCTTTGCCAAGTCCATTCCAGGGCACAATTTGTTTCCCCCTCCAAAGGGGAGGAAAGTTCCTCCTTTTGCCTTGACAGTTTGCTACCAACACACAAGCCACAAAACATATATTTAACATAAAAGTATATGTATATGCATATGCACGTGCATAAGCGCAAGCGTGCACTGTGTGCTCGCGCATAGGGAAAGATAGATTACGGGAGAGTTATCCAATCAGTTCTAAATCTATTGTATAGATGCCAATTCAATTCTAAACATTTCAATTTGTCATTTTAGTCGTAAACGTTTGCGCGAAATTCCATTGTAGTCCTTTGGCCAATTTTTGCCGAAAATCACCAACATGGCGGTGTGCCATGTAGGATGGCCGGCAATGATTGGACCGCCACGTCAGCGCTTTCTGGCGAAAATTGGCCGGACTGACAAAATTCGAATTTCATGTAGATGTTTATTACTAATTTGGTAAAATTGAAAATTTTAGAACTGAATTGGCATATGTACAATAGGTTTGGGACTGATTGGGTAAATTTTCCCGATAGATTACTTACTTCCCATCTTGAGGGGTCGAATTCTTCCAGTTTCGCATAGGTCTCGGGATCGACATGAATTTCCCTTAAATAAACTACTATTCTCCAACCTTTCGGTACAAGATAGCCTGTAATTGACAAATGAATGTCACGCCTAATCTCTCAAGCGAGTTCCTCTAATCAATACTAATGAAGAGATTCATTTTTTCAAAAATCCTTTTTACTGACCATTGATGTTCACATCAGCTGTTGTTGCCTCTCGAAACACTGCGAACGAGATATTGCCTCTTCGGAGCGTTTCATCAACCACCTAAGTCATGGCATAAAGTGAGTGCTTCATATGCAAGCTCGTTATACAGAAAGTCCAAAATGTGATTTGTGTACCGATTCAAAGTAATATGCTTTTCTGTCTATGTCATCTAATTTCCAAAGAACAATGAAAAATTATGTGCCAGAATTTTGCTACGTGACAACATTTATGTTTTGTGAATGTTGCGAGTGTTTCTGATTAAAAGAAGTTAAAAAAAAAATAGTGCGTGCACGACAAGATTTAGATCAAGCAAAAAGCAAAAATCAGGCGTCATAGATTTTAGATACACCGAACGAAAATGAGTAAAAAGAAAAGGAGAGAGAGAGATTGTATGATATTGTAAACAAAGATGCTTACATACCTTGGACAGATAATCCATTTGTCTAATCTCCTTGAGAGTCAGTCCTTTCTGTGTAGGTGGTCTCCTCCTAATAATCTCCTCTTGCTCTTTCTGATAATTGCAGTAGAATTCATTTCACTAATACTCTTAGACAGTCATGAAACTATAACGAGAATGTGAATAGTCAATATAATAGGTCAACCGTGGTTTGTCACAATTGCCACAACACCTTTCGTAATCTAAGCACTTCCCAGATTCAAAATCGGAACCGAAATGATCATTGTAATAGACCCCCGAAAAGAGAGATCTTTGCGCGATGTGATTAGCATTTATAAGTGTTGTTGAGTATAGCTGAGCCATCCAATTAGCTTTGAAGGGTAAATCAGACACTATCATTAAGGAAATCCGAGTAAGCTTTATTGAAATGTCCCTGCAAGAAGTGATGTTGTCTAACCTTCAGTTTTTGGAGGATTTCAGGATGTTCTTTGAGGAAGATGGCAGCCCACATCGTGGCATGAGCTGAGGTTTCATGGTCAGCAAGCAAGAACATGAGAGAAACGTCAATAATGACCTCCTCATCCAATCTCTCACCATCCTCATCTTCCACTTCCATTAATAAATCCAACACATCCTTTTCCTCAGTTGCCTGCTCTTTCTTATTTTTCAGCCTCCTCCTCTTATCCAAATTGGCTTGAAGGATCTTAACCAATTTTCTTCTTGCCTAAGACAACGATTTGGTGACTTCATACTGTAAAGCTGCTTCATCAATTCAAATCACATTACAAAAAGATTGACGTTGGGAATTCTATTTTACCTTGAGTGCTTTGTGAAAAGTACGTCCAGGGAGGTTGATGGGTATTGATATCAATCCTTGAGCCAAGTCGTAGAATAACCTCTCCATCATCTGTACGTCGTAATCGACGTTCACGCCGAACAAGATGTTTGTGATGACCGTGTATGTCACCTTGTTCATCTCCGTCATGAGCTCGACAGGCTGCCCGGACTCGGCCCATTTCTCCATGGAAGGGGCCAAAATATTCTCGATCTTGCCCACGAAGAGAGTGAGCGCCTCAAGGCCGTTGATCGGGGAGGCCGTCAACCGTCGCAGCCGCTTGTGCTCGGCAGGTGAGATGCCATGGAATGATCTGTTGCCCATTAGCTTTAAGGTAGCTTTTGGGTAGCCAGGAATGCATAGTTGGTCATCCGTTAGCACACGCTTGCATGTTTCTGGAGTGCACACAATGATGCTTGGACCACCAAAGATGAAGGTCTTGTATATGCCTGTACGCCCATACCTGTAGTGAAGCAACGCATGCTAATCAAATCATCAATTTTGTGGTTGGGTCTGTCCACCGCATCATCTATGCACTACGTCCCGCTAGCGTAATTTTCTCGAAGCTATTCAAGAGTTTGTTCAATTCCAACAGAAAAGAAAACGAACAAAAACGTAAGAAACAGCAGTTAGTGAAGGTCTAAGTAGGAGGGACCTGGAGATGAAGCTAGCCAAGAAGGAATCGGGACGGCCGAACTTGAAAGCCACGAAGAAGGCCCACATCTGGCCGACCAAAGGCCAACCCATGTCGCCCGGAGGCAGCAGAGAAGCTCTCTGCCGCCCCAAACTGCTCACGTATACCCACTCGTTCACCCTCGTGAAGACTCCAAAGATGAGGTGTCACGCCCCGAACCCCTACGAGCTCGCGACATCCCTTGCTCCGGTCGAAATGATGCGACATCCCAGGAACGTCGCCGACCCAATCCAAACATCAGAGCCACATGCGGAAGCGGATATAAAAACCCCGGACAAAAAGATGACGACAACGGGGTAGAACACCACAACAATCAAACAACAACATCTTCATACAGCACCAAACATACAAACATCATATTACAGACATAAATACAGACGAACATACTCCGCCACCGTTTTAACAAAAGATCAAGGTCTGGTTAACTTAACTTCCCCATGGGTCAACCCGATTTACACAACCCCTAAAATATCCTAGGGAAAGTCTACTGGTCGCCCTTCCGCTCTGCTTCTGATTCTTCGGGTTTGAGCCTCTGGACACTCACCTGCAATTCCACCAGGCACCAAAGGCGGTTCCTCGAACTTCCAAAAAGAGGAGGCAAACTTCCCGGGTCTAAGACTGGGGGTCTGAAAGTGGCGGTTATACAACCGTGAGACGAATCTCAATAAGTGTACAACCCCAAACCCCACGTAGGCACTCACGTACCGCCAGATGAAAACACACATAACACACAATGATCAGCCAAAATAACAATCACATGCGACCCTACCTGGAATTCCTCACGCACGTCCATGTACGTTAGTCAACCACACAGCCAGTATGCCACATAAATACATCATAGCGCGCGCGTGCCCCGATTATAGAGCAAAACCCACTTGGGCACGTCTCATACCATGCCTAGCGGTTTTTACCCCATAATCGAGCATCATACCACGCGATACGACCACACTCGCACACCAACTCACACCACGCGTCACTTTCTTAATTTCACTCGTCCCGCCAATTCTTGCTCATTCTCAACCTTTCCACCACTACCGCGCCCGCGTAAAACGCATCAGGCATCGTCACCCCGTCGAGCCGGGCATCGTCACCTCGTCAGGGACGGCATCGTCCCGCGTAAACGTACACGCTTCAGGACGGAATCCTACACACACTTTCCTTCTACCGCGCCCGCGTAAAACGCATCAGGCCAACGGTCTTCTGACCACGTCAGGCATCGACACCTCGTCAGGCCGGGCATCGTCACCTCGTCAGGGACGGCATCGTCCCGCGTAAACGTACACGCCTCAGGACGGACCTTTTTCCAATCAATCCTACACATCCGAACCTTCGTTCCACACTCTCTACATGTACCACGCCACCACACAAACACACTGCCAAACATACACACTTCACACACATTTCACATTTACACAACCTCGTCACGCGAACACCACACAAACACCCAAGCTTGGCACGCGAACTCAATGCGCAATCACGCCACCACACCTCACAGCCACACAATCACACATACGAGCTCATTCAAGCATCAAACTACCCATCAAAATGCCATGATAACACCGAATAATTCTCGAGAGAGAGAAAAACCGAGAATATATAAAATCGGGTCAAAACTGGGCAGTTTACACAGTGACCGAAATCCCAATAAAATAAATAGTAAACGAACTCCAAAAATTCTAAATTTTGGATATGTCATAAAAAACATCTTGATCAACATTTCTTATGAATAATACGAAATCTGGTTCAATCTGCAACCATGCCTTTTTGTCCCTCGAAGTCAGACCAAAATCAGTTCGCTCAAACAGATCGTTTTGTCCTCAAAATACATTTATTTCAACATCCAGATCACCTTGAAAAGCTTTGAAATTTTTATATATTATAGCCACAAATGTCCCCAACAACTTTTGTGAAGGAAGTATTTTGAAAATAGGCCTGGAAAAATTTATAAAAATTCGAACAGATCCGAAGGTCGGGTGAACAGTAAATCGGGCAGTTTTATTTCGGTCCAAAGATGGGCTTCCGAATGGCCCCAAATGATTTCCAAAAATTCCCAAATTAAAATATGTTATATTTCAAGATGTTGGGAACAACTTTCATGAATAACACTTCCTCAAATTCGGGCCACATAAGTCATAGTAAAAATAACAAAAACCAGCGACGCAGCAGCAACCTAACTGGAAATCAGCCAACACACACCACCGAGCAAACCAGCCACTAAATTCACCCTAAACCAAGCCCTAAACAAGCCTAACAATACCCGAGGTCCTAGGCGACATTTGGGGGGGTCACTTACCTAAGAAAGACGAGACGAACGGGCTGAATGGGTGGCTGAAATGGGCAGAACAGCAGCAGCAGCAGCCATGGTGATGGGAGGAGCAAGGATGAAGAGAATGAGAAAGAGGGAGAGAGAGGGGGGGAGGGGGGGAGGCTGATCGTGGGGGTTCTGGCCAGAATGGGGAGGAAGAGAGAGAGAGAGGAGGGTCAGCTGGTCAAAAATAGTGGCCTAGGGGCGCCAAGTGTCTCGATCCTACGCGATTTGATCAAAATACCCCTAATCTAACGGTTCTAAAGAGATAGGATCAAATAATTGAGGGGTAATATCGTCTTTGACCCCTAATAATGCAGCTGAAATTCTAATTTAATAATTTCCAATTCTCCAGTCCAAAATTCGGAATACCCAGTACCGAGTCCAAGGGCAAAACAGCATTTTTCCGATCCCGGGGCGAAATTCCAATTTTTGCACATACGTGTTCCATATGTGCGTGGCCAACATAATGTGGTGTCGGAATCGCGAAATTCATCGCGCAAGCCTTCGAAAATTGACCGCAAAGTTCCGGAAATAAAATAATATTATTTTTCACCTCCGAGCCAAAATTTCAATTTTTGACCGAAACAACTCTAAATGCGCGTGGCCACCCCAAAATGATACTAGCCTCGAAAAATAACCTCAAACGACGTCAAAATCCAACATCGGTGTCCACAGGGGCAAAACTGAAATTTTTCCGGCCCCCGAACCGAAATCCATTTTTTTGCAGAAATGGGTGGCCCCAAGGTTGGCCAAGCCAAAAACGTCATCGGCCGCTCAAAATTGTCACTTTCAAAATTCTCGATTCCCGGGCTCGAATTCTAAGAAATGACTAAAATTGAACAGTCGCGACTTTAGCTTATCTCTTGCTAACGGGTGGCTCATTAGGATTACGCGCTCTCGACCCATGACCGACACTAAGTCAAATCACGTTTATGTTTGCTCGAGCCAAGGTGACCTCGATCGTCATATAATTGCGAGGGTCTGTCGCTAGTTCCCTTCGGACACGATCAATCAAATAGATCGGTCTCGGTTGGCTCAAAGCATTCCCTCGTCAATCCATATGGTTGAAAATCGAACCAAGGTCGAGTTCTTTGGTCGTGCGAACTCAATCCCGTAATAGCCTTACCCCTAAGGTTAGCATCCCGAGAATGCGCGGGTCCCAGGTGAGATCTCACTATAGTGCATTGATCAAAATATTCATTTCTTAAATCCCGAGAAAAGGATCGAAAATTCAGACTGTTACATGAGGCCACCGGCAGACACCAATGCCGCCACCGCCACACTCACTGCTCGAATCGCCTCCATCGATTTCGACCTCACTCTCTACTATGAAGGTTGACTCTGAACGTGCGTAGTAGTACTGTGGTCTCTTTAATAAGTTCGTTTCTTTAGTTGAAGCGTCCCTGTCATGATGGATCGTTTATGTTTAACTATTCATTGTTTTCGGTATATGTCACTCTGGGGTACTTAATTTGTAGTTGATAAGGGGTCATCGACCACGTGTCAAGCTAACTTCCAAAACATGGCTTGTCTTAAGTCATTGGGATCAAAGATTGAAGATTCCTTTGTCTTTGTCTCCCTTCGTGTTAAACATTTGACACCTCGCGTAAAGCCAGAAGAAGCATCTCCTTCTTGCATGTCTTGATCTGTGAGGTAATAAGGGAATAGTCTAACCAAACACACAAAAGTCTACATGCCATTACAATATATATTGGACAATGATGCCCACTCTCCCATTTTGTAAGGGAAAATTTCAATTAATAGTATGAATCAAAGCCATTTTTTTTAAAGAGAGATCAAAGTGGCCCTTGTTTTAGATAAATGCCTAAAGTAGCCAACTTAGTCTCAAATAAAGGCCCAAACTTACCGGCCAGTCAAATTTTCACCACTGTGCTTATTCTAGTGGCTAGAGCGGGGGCAATTTTATGTTCCCACTTTATCGAAGGAAAAAAAAATGATTGGCACTTTGAATTGGTGAGCCGAAAGTAAGCCTAGCCCTATCATCTTTGGTCCAATGCCGCAATGTCGACAGTGAGAGCCCCTTTTCTTTAATCAATCTTAAGAAGAACGCGATCAACACAACTTAGCGCCACCGTGACATTGTATAATAGTTGGGCGAAAGAAAAATGGCACTTCATGTTGCTTCCATTCATGGACAAAGCTTTTAGAAAAATTAAGCACCACACTAGTATGCAATATAATTTTAAGCAGACACATTAGAAAGCAGCAACGAAATGATGCATCAGTTTATTCAACATCTGACAGAAGCGGGGAAACAGAAGGAAACATGCCGAATGCTGAGATGTTTCTGCACTTGTTTCAGGTATCTAATGGAGCTTCTCGAATCTGACAAGGCAATTGTCCGAAGGGTGTGGCAGTGGTAGATATGACACCGGGCTCTTCGGGTTCACCTTCTCCTGCCTGCACATACACATACAAGATTCGGTAGTGAGAATATTGTTAATGTTTTCCAACATATCTCCTTTTCATCAGAAGTTGAAAAGTAAAAGAAAATTAAAGGAAAAAGTAAGAAGTAAATACTGACTTGTAGTGAAGCAGAAACTGGTGGCAAAAGATGGAGATTTCGAGCTTAGCCAAATCACTTCCTGGGCAGAACCGGCTTCCAGCTCCAAATGGTAGGAAAGCTCCTGCTTTTGCTTTGATGTTCTAAATCCCAAACACGAACCAAATCATTATGGAAGTTTATCCCAACAAAGAGAGAATCCATAATTGGATTTTACTGTTTGAAATTACTTCTATTCTTCAAATTTTCTTACCTAAATCTTAGTTATCACTGTGCTGTTAGACTTCGAATTATGTTTTTCTCTAA